TAAACCAGTCCAGGAATTTTTATTGGCCCCCTCAGGTCTCTGGGCACTGTTTGTGATCCCCCTGAGGAGACAGGAAAGGATCAGGGAGACCAAGTGGCTCCAGGGTTTGGCAGCGTGGGACAAGGTTGTAACACAGTTTAGCTGGTGCTGTTGTTGCATAAATGTATATGTGATAAATAACAGCCATGAGAAATGGCTCCTATTATTTGCCAATAAATGCGCAATGCACTGGATTTATGAAAGACCTTGACAAAATTCTTAAACAAACCAAGTTTTTGCTTTACTCTGTACTTTTATAGCTATGATTAGGAGATTTGTGATTTTTTTCCCCAGTGAAGGCAATGGTGCTAGTCTGTTACTAGAAGTGCATGTGGTCTAGTTTATTTAAGCAGGAAGGAGTTTAAGTGGAAATGAGCCACAGAAATGTGTGCCACTTGTCTAAAACAAACATGGCTTCAGCTTTTCCTTGTAAGTAACATCTATTATTACATTTTTAAGTAGATCTTTGTTAGTAAGCATCTGCATGCAAACATGTTTGATCAGATGGAAAGATCCAGGACTATATTTATGTTATTAAACCAGAATGTTCTTCTTAAATAAGGACCTGCACTAATGCCAATTGAAGTTAATTGGGAATTTGCAAGTGAAAGGATTCAAGTCCCTAAAAAAAGTTCCTGTTTTGTAGGACTACATAAATTGAGTTAATGACTAGTTGTGTTGTGAGCTCATTTAGAGTGGTTTTTGGAAGTTATATCTAATATTAAAAGTTATGTTATTAAGAGATACGTGAGAGTCTCCTCAATGGAGCAGGTTGGTTTGTGAGTTTGTTCTTTCTGTAATCACTGTGTCGATTTGTGTGATGTTTGAGGTACTCCCACTTTCCTCTCTCTGAAGGTCTCAAAGGATACGTAAAGAAAAAGATGACTTGTACAAATATAAAACAAAATCATCCCAAATTGATGGTCTCTGGTTCTAGAGAGCGAAGAGTGTCACTTGCAGGAGCTGAAGACAGTGTTTAACAATGTTCCTGGGTTTTGGAGTTTTGATTTAAGTTGTGTTGATTGAAGGGATTCCAGACTTGTCCTACTGTGCAGGGGTCATGATGGATGCAGGTGCAGTAGCAGATGAGCCTCCAGTCAGATGAGGAATCTTATAAAGGAACATTGATTGCCTTGTTGAAGATTAATATTATTATTGTTATTATTATTATTATTATTATTATTATTATTATTAGTGGTGGTGGTTTTGTCTGTCTGGTGGTCTTAACTGAGACTAGACTGTTTGCTCAGTACACTGAGCATAGGAAAATGCCATATGTGGACACCTCAGGAATCATTCTTTTCAACTATTTCTTGAGTATTTTTCTCTAGTTTCTATGAATTTGGTTTGGGGCCAGGTGTAGGCCGGGCTCTGATGATCTCTGACACCACCACTCTCTTCAGATGATTGAAATTGGCAGAAGAGAAGTACAATTTCTTCACTAACTGAGGGAAAAGTCCCTCAGCTGTAATTTTAGATCATGATTCAGAAGCTGATTGTATCCAGAGAGTTCTTCAAGACTTGCTGGGGTTTACATTTTTCAGGATCATTTGGAAGTATATGGGCTTGTTTTCATATCATTTCTAGAAATAAATGCCAGCCTAGACTACATCTGGAAGCTGAATACTCTTAATACTGCCAAAAAGTAACACTTTTATTTTCTTTTTCCATTCTAAATTGAATTAAAAAGAAAAATATCTCTTTAATTTACCTTATATTATAGTCATTGTAGTATATTTTGTAAGGGAATACCATCACATTTTTAATCCCATGTAGCTTCCATTTAGTCTACTTACACTTTTAATATTCCCCTTTAAAGAGCTCTGCATACGGTGTTCTCAATGCATCAAAGAAGCTTTCCCTCTCTTCCATTATCCTTTTTTTCTTTTTTTCCTTTTTATGGTTAACTTTCCTCTTTTTGCCCAGTCAGGATGTCTCCCAGGAGCACTGGAAGCACACGGGAGTTGCTCAAGGACAAAAACTTGAGTAGAATCATAACCACAGCGTGCTGGGCTGGCTCTACAAGAGTAGAAAAGTGCAGGAATCCTTCATCTTTCCAGATTAAAAAAAAGGGCTTTTGTGTAGCTCCTCTGCAAAGCCATGATCTTGCATGGCTTTGAGTTCCTGTGCTGTAAAGCACCAAAGTGCTTCATGTCTTCTGTTCCTTGCAGCTCTTACTCAGCTGTGGAAAGAAATATCAAGTCATGTAACCACTTTCTTCCAAGTCTTGGGCCAGGATCTCAGCTGGTGTAAGTCAGCAGAGCTCCACTGACATTATTAGTGCTCTAGTGATTCACACCAGCTGTGGGTCTGGTCCTCTGTCTCAATTTATGAACTAAATCTCAGGAAATATGAAATGATCTCTTTTAGTCAGCAGTTCTGCAGATGTGTTAATGGATTTTAAGTTTACCAAAAAGGCAAGACTTCAAAAAGAGATCCAGCAGAAGAATAAACTTTCAAGAAGAATGCCTTACTTACATCCTTTTTGGCAAGAAAGGGCTATAACAGCTAGCTGCAGTTTGAAGAAATTAACTCAGTTATGCATCAGGATATGGTAACACAGCCTCACTGAGAACCCAAGATTCAAAATAGCTTCACAGCACAAAGCAAACTGTTGGCTCTGAGTGAGTAATTGCCATGCAAATAGGAATCACCAAGTCTTACGACCAAAAATTAAGTTGCTTGTGATCTTTGTGTGAAGAGCCCTAGTGCTTCCACTCTGGTTTTATTCTGGGTTTATTCACAGGCCTGGTGTTACATCTGTTGGAGATTAAATGAGGAACCATGTTGTTACAAGGACACAGAATCTTAATAGTTCTCAATGTGTTATGTTAAAACTCAACAATGACTTTGCATATGGGTGTGATCTCAAATATGGTGTTGAAAAGAGTTATTTTAGCCAATGTGAAGGAAATGCTCATTGACATTGCTTAAGCACCATCAGGCTTACCTGTCCAAATCAGAAAATGTTGGGATAGGTGTAACCTCATAGTTAACAAATGTGGGGTCTCAGAACTCTTTTATTCCTAAATGCTTTAATGATATGTGAGCATATGCTCCAAAATCCAAAGAAGGTTCCATACCTGAAATACAGAGGTACGGAGGTCTTCACAGCCTAATTTATTTGCTAATGAGACTTTCAGAATTAATTAAAATTATTAGTGTGTGGCTCCACACTGTGTGATTTACATATGTTGTTCTCACTGGAGACTTACTGCTTTGGATAGACCCAGAAAAGTAAAAGAACAACATGTCTTCAATGGTCCATTGAGTGAACTTGAGTGTAACTCTCTGTTAGGGTGTACTGCTTACATTTTTTTTTTTTTAAATTAGGGTAGAAATAATTTGATTTCTAGCAATTAAAACAGTGTGGTGTGCTCTGAGGGTCCAATTCTGGCATGTCTGTTTCCCAGTGACTTTTGGTGAGACAAACATTTGTCTAGATATCACTGCATGCCAAAAGGAAAATCCACAATGCTTGGACACAAATTACGCAGGCCTGAAGATGGACATCTTGGAAGAGTCCTCATGCAAAGCCAGTTAGATTTTCAGGTAAAGTAATTATCATAATCTGAATATAGCAACATGTTGAATTTAGAGGGATTTGCAGAACTGGAGTGATGGATTGAGTGGTGAGGAAACCCCTTTGAATACTGGAGATGACTTGGGAAGTGACAGCATCCAGGACTCAGCATTTACTGGGGTTTTGCAGATTCCTCAGGAGCACAAGGGGAACAAAAATTCATTCCCCAGGTCCACAGCAGGAAAGACCATAATGAGAGCTCTGACCCTCCAAGGGGTCAAGGAATTGGAAGTGTGAGAGGCAGAGTCATGTGAGGCAGTGTCTGGTAACTTAAGGAGCTCACTGCATTTGAAATCACAGTGTTTCACAGGGACTTCTGCTCCCTGGAGATTTCTAGGGATGAGGTTTGGAAAACTTGGCTCTGAATCAGTTTGGAACCAAATTGAAAAAAATTGTTGAATTTCACTTGCTGTGTTTGGCTCTGCAGTGTGGAGTGGTTGAAGGCAAAATAAATGCTTGAATCAGTCTGAAAATTAAGATTGTATTTGTCAGTCCTCACAGGGCAGCACTTGAGAGTAAGAGCAACACTCTCCACCACCTTTGTCCAGTCCTTCCCATCCTGGTGGCTGACATGTTGGCCTTGGGAATGTATGAGTATTTCACCTGCTGTCAGTATTGCACCAGTGGAATATACCTAGTCACGAAGCCATTGACCCTTATGAAACTCCAACCAGCCCCAAATCTCGCAATACAAGCGTGTCAGGTCTGATTTCTGCTTCCTACCCCGATTTCCTTCAGCCAAGGACTGGGACAAGATTGGGAGATCACGTCTTACTTTAAATGCATGGAGTGATGCAGACCTGGAATGTCTTGTCACTGAAAATACACATGCCTGTGATTCATAACTCTCTAAGCTCACAGAAGTAAAGTTTTCTGTGCAGGATTCAGATTTTTTGTGTATTCAGCCTATACTTATAAGATTAATATAATAAGATTAATGTAGGCATCAGAAGCTGTTGCAAATGCTGCCGTTTTTGGAAACACAGGATACCTCACCTTCGCAGGCACACCTTACTGGAACGGTGTCCTGGAGAGACAGGAGAAATAGGGCACATGGGCTCTTGGCACGTTTTCAGCATCTTTCCTGCCCTCTCTCACTCTCCCTGTGTAAACTCAGGGTGAAATGGTCATTCTCAGGGTCTTAAAAGAACTGTGATGAGATAGCTGAAGCTGTGACATTTATAAGCTGAATTTCATCTGCTTTGCCATTGCCATCTCTGCAAGTGATTGGGGTCTTAGAAAAAACACTTGTCTCTTGATGCAGACTTAACAAAAAGCTCAGAATTCACTGTGAAGGATTACTTTGGGAAAGTATGTGTTGGAATTATTTATATCTATATCCAAATCTGTTTCATATCCCTTTGCTTTACATTTCCAGACCTGACCTGGCCTCACAGAAGACATCAGGCCAGCATTCCGTGGATTGGAACCTGGAAACACTGAAGAACACTTGTGAGCCAGAGGACCTCTTTGATGACATGTAGCCACATGTGGGCTGAGAGACAGAGACTGGTGCTTCTAACAGCGATAAGCTGTAAAACTAAAAGGCTTTTTTAATAGAGTAGAACCAAGATCTGTGCTCTGAGGCTGTTTCCAGTGGCACACCCCTCTAAACACTCTTGCACTGCACTTGTCCCCATTCTTCACTATGAATTTGTAGACCCTAACAGACCTGATTTGTGATGGTCTTATAAAAGAGTTTATCCCCTGTGTAGAACTTTCATCAAGTGTATATGGGAAGGGAGAGCACCACTGAGGTGTTTTCTACATCCTCAGTCAGTGGCTGCTGACTGTGTTCAGGTTTTCCAGATGTCCACAGAGAATGTCCGACATAAGATTTTAAGCTACCGCTGTACTTAACCTTATATGCCACCCCTTTCTTAGCTCAGCCTAGGCATGGTCTAGATAAATCATCTTCAGCTTTGTTTGAGATGCAGATTTAGAATAGTCTCTTCTGATTCAAAGCATCCAAAGAAATACCGTTTTATTCGAAGATTCTCTGCAGCATTAATGCATTATAAGGTATTCTTGCTTTTGGAAGTAAAGTGCTTCTAAAGTAGATATTGACTCTATTTTAAGCTTCTGTAGAAACCCATAGCATTTAAAAAGATTGTCATTTTTGATACTTCAACATTTTCCTTAAGGTGATTTCTAAAAAGAAAAAAATAAAATGCATTCTGAAAGGACTTCAATTTTGTTCTTATTTGCTTAGATGCTATGAGTAAAGGTAGGAGTTAGCAAAGTGTGTTAATGCATGAAAGCAATCTGTGCTCTGTGGCTTGGAAAGGTCCTTGGTAAAACACCTACTTGGTGTTTCTGAAATGGCCACACTTATATAGGCTCTGATTCTGCCAAAATTCCATGCTATAATTTATTAAAAGCACCCATGTCAGTATTTGCAGCATCATGAACGCCTATAGGAAACAAGGGTCTGGGAATATTACATTTAAGCATTCCTCCCTGGAAAACACGGTCACAGCATTTTAAATTCACAAAGGGCTTTGGGACAGTGTTATAAATCACACAGTAAAAATAAGAATGGCTACAATATTTTGCTTGCTAAAAAGGCTTTGTGCCTGAGAAGTGACAGGGCCACAGAAGCCCCATTCATACACCCATTCATGGGCACGGCCTGATTTAAAATCTTCCAGTGCTGATCTGACAATGCTTTCAGCAAAAGCTCATGTATGGTTCCAGTTTTGGAGTGAAAATGTTCCATGACTTAAACCGAAGTGCAAGAGCTTGGTTTAATTGTGCCTACAGCAGAAAATGAAGGTAAATGAAGCTGAACATCCCACAAAACTCTACTTTCAGGAAGCTGTTGGTTTCTAGTGGCAAAATGTTGTTGTACAAATAGGAAATGTTACATGCCATGGGCAGATGTAATAAAGTGTGTAAGAGTGTTTATTATTTTCTCTTTTTTTTCTTATTTTTTGAGGTTTATAGAGGCATTTAAGCAGAAAATTTCGTGATGGGGGTTGCGCACCTTGGGCTGTGTGAGCACAGGTGTGTTGTCTGGTGAGGGCACTCGTGTTACAGAGGCAGTTTCCAATCAACTGAGACTGGTTTTATCAACAGGAACACCTTCCCTCCCATGGAAATCTACATATAATATGTCAGTGTCCACAGCCGTGTGGGAATTGTCAGCGAAATCCTCCTTTCTGAAGATTTATGTGAAAAGCTGTTAGTTTTCTGGAGATAAAGTTTCCATTTTCCAGTTGGCTTTGAAGAGGAATGACCCACCAGCCTTAAAACCAGTTTAGACTCTGTGTAGGTCTTTTATCATGTGAGAGCAACACTGCCAAAGCTGCAGAAAATCAGTGAAAATTCTTCATGATGTGCATTTGTCTCCTTTATCCTCAACCTCATTCATCCCAGTGCATGGAAATAGACTCAGTGGTCTCACTGACCAAGTCAGGTAAAAGCCATTTCAAACTAACATGTGAAGTCTGGGAAGGGAGCTCGTTTGCTTCTCCCCCACCCAAAATATTTCAGTGAAGACGGAAGACGTAATAGAGAAATGCCCACAAATGGGTTTTTCAAGGCAGGAAATTACCCCAAGTTAGGAAACACAGATCAAATTTCAGAGATCCTTAATCAATGCTTCTCTTTGATACTACTCTGCAAATGATTTCCCAGGCAATTTTTTTTTCATCCCTTTATACTATACTTGAAGCATGTAATTGTTTTACAGGAGGCAAAATGTATCTTTCAGTAAAGGTTTGGACTCATCCAGAGTTTTATACCTTAATGCAATTTCTTAGACAGAATGTACATTCTAAGTTGTCATTAGAAGTCTGGCTTTATCCAACAAATCTTGAAAAGCAAAACTCAAAAATAGTTATTTTCAAGACAGCAAAAAGAAAGTTCTGAACCAAAAAAACCCCTCTTTTCTTAAGGAAGTGCTGGATAAAGTATTGCCTTTGGGATGATAATGTTATTTTGATTTCGAGATCATGTTTTGACAAGTTATATCACTATTTTAACTACCTTCTCAGTGTTATTCCCAAAAGTAGACACTCCTGTCTATGTGTGTATTGGATATATTGTTCTTCCTCGCTTTGTACCTGTAACATATAAATGATTGTGTGTATAAATGTATTTCTCTGGAAATATTTATTGTAGTCTAGCTGGCTTTGACAGCTTCTGCACTTTTATTTAGAAGCCTGAAGGTGCTTGAGGATAGAAAAAGCCTTTGCACATGGAAATTCACATGCTGCTATATGTTTAAGGCAAAACTTCTTTTCTTCTGGTTTTGTGGGTAAAATAAAATGTGGGGATAGTGAAGTAAGAACGAAAGGAAAACAAGGTAATAAAAACACATCCAGGCTGCTTATAGACTGAAGGTGATATATTTGAACATCATCTGTGCAGTTCTAGTAGAGAAAAATGTCCAGGAGCTGGTTATCCTACTGGAAAAGGAGGAGCGAGGAGAGGGTTTTCATCAACAGTCAATCCTCTCATCACTTATCTTCCAAATATTTTTCTGCTCTCATATATCTCCAGTATAATGTTGGTCAACACCTGAATTTTCATCCTTCTCTGACCATTAAATGATTTCCCTGCTGTTATAATTACAGTCTAAAATCAATTTTATTCATAAAATTCATCAGTATTAATCTGCTAGTTCTAGGAAAATGAAACGCTCTGGATTTTTAAAACCAACACTACTAAAGAACTGTCTTTAGCTTTTTGCCTCTGGTGAGATTTAAACTAGTGGCTTCTCCTAGAACAGTCTTTCTACTTAGGAAACAAACACATTTAAGCTGTCCTTATTATCTTCCTCCCCTACACAGAGGTGTTATTTATTTGAGGCAGTCTTAGGGGAATATTTGATGGGAAAATTTATGTCCAGATATAGACATCCACTCCAGTACTTTCTGAAGGGCATGAAGGTACATATTTAATTGTCTGGCTTTATGCAACTACTATTGTTGTAGATAACGGTCATCAATACAGCATGTAGCACCTATGTTGCTATGAGTAAATATGTAACATCATATTGTCCTTCTTTCCCTGCTTAATAATTAGCATTTGGAATGTGTGCATCTCATTTCTAGTGCATTGTTCTGATTCTCATTGACTGAGAGACCAGGGTTAAGCCCTGGGCTTCATCAGTTTAATCACCTACTACAATTTTCTCATGTAGCTTCTGCTTTTCTTTCTGAGATGCTGGCTTTCAAGGTGGTTCAAAGATGATTTTTAAAAGTTGACTTTGATTTTAAACAAAAGCCAGAGTTCTGAGTAGAAAAGGCTGGAGATCAGTCTGTTCTCCAGGCTCAACTGCATGTGAAACATGACAAAGTAGTAAAATACATTTACAGGACCTCGACACCCTTGAAAGCAGTGAAGTGGCTCACCTTAAATATACAAAGACACTGGGAGAGCTTTTATGCCAGAAAGAAATGAGGAGACAGAGAAGTAAAGAAATGCTTATATTAAATAGTCATTAAAAATGTATCAAATGTGGAATACTGTGCTCAGGCTTTTTGCGGTATTAGGAAAGCAAGTATCAGCAATGCTCTCTGGTAGCATTTCCATGCCCTCACAAGGGCAGTAGAACCCTGATATTGAATAACCAAGATTCAGAACTGAAGAAAATAATGTCTGCCACAGCTATACTTCTGAAATTGTCTCTCTACAACTGATGGAGGGAAGGGCCGGTGTCCTGCTCCCTGTGTCTGTGTGTGGTTTAGTTTTATGGCTCCATCCCTCTCTCCACAGAGCCAAAACCAGAAGAGATGGGAAGTGAAAACAGCCATCTAGAGAAACTGCACTAATAAATATCTATGAAAATAAGAGTGTTTTCCCAAGAACAAAAGAGCAATTGAGACATTTAACATAAACATCCATAATAAATTAATCAGAGCTAATTTATGGCGATGGATGTTTTATGCTGCAAAGATGCGGAGGAAGTGAAATAATTTCTGCCCAGAACTTGGCCCCGTCTCATTCCCCCTCTTGCATGCCTTGGGAAGATGTGACAAACCTCCTTATGACAAATCCCAGGAACGTTGTGTCTTCCCCTTTGACTTCAGCCAGTCTGAGCAGCCAAACTGGATGATAATTTATTGCGACTGCTCAATAATAATCTTCTCTAAGCCCAAAATAAGCTGTTGTTTTGCAATCTTTTTGTTTTGTTTTTCTTTTTAATCTTGATTTTGCTTTCAGTTTTGTAAGGAGAAACAAGCAATTTTCTTGAAGTGGACCTGCTGGGAGGACCTTCCCTGTTGCTGTCACCAGTTTCAATAGCAGGTTCAGCTGCCTTCAGGTCAGGTTTTTGCATCTTCCAGCAGGTGTATTTGCTTAATTCAGCATAACCAGAGGTGTGTACGGGCATATGTTCCTCCTGAAGAGCAAGAAAACCTGCGCCTTTCACCATGAAACTTGCAGTCTTGCTTAAGATTCCTGCAGAGGGGGACATCTCTGAAGTTAAACTCCCCAAATTAGGCAGCCCAGACAAGAGTTTGATGCTTGAAAACCACTGGCACTTCATAAGACAATGAGATGTGGGAGGGTGACCCTGTTTGGTTTCATCACTCCAGTTCAATTACACTCCAGAAATTAAACTTAACCAGCACAAAAAGATACACAAGCCAAAAAAAAAAAAAAAATATACATAGGTTTCTCAATAGCTTCTTCATATCCTGTCCCTCCTCCTCAGCACATAATTGATTAAAAGGAAATTTTAAAAATTAGTTTGAGGGCAGGCACATTCTGGGCGGCTTTTACTGCCTCATAGTAATTTCTGTTTCACAGCTCGGGGAGAAATGTTCAAATTGATGTTCACATCTTGGCAGGGCTGGCCTGAGCCCCTTTGTTCCCTTATGGCTTGTGATTGTATCACACTTGCCCTCCCTCTCACCGGGGCTGAGTTGCCAAATAAGAAGTTACTCCACACCCAGCCCTGTGATTACAATTTCAATAGAAAACTGTCTCAAAATAAAATCCCTTTGAGGGCCTCAAAAATGTCTCCATAAATTCTACTGACAGTGGTGTATTTCTTCGTTTGCCTGGCTAGATTTTTGCTTTAGCCCCTTTTGTAATGAATTGCTTTCCATTGTGACACAAAATTACTTGACAAGAGTTTTGCTGGGGTTGTGTGGGTCAAGCCCTCACCTCACTGTAGTCAACCCCAAACCTTGTGCAGACTTCAGGGGAGCAAGGGTATGACTTATGTTATTTCTAAAGAAAAATCTTACTTTTTAAGTACATAAAAATGGTAAAGGTGGAAGACTAGGAGCAAAACAGAGGCCCTTCAGTGACAAGAGGGCTGTGATGTTTAGGGTGATGTATGAAAAGGGATCTCCCTTGGCTGTCCTTTGGAGGAATGGGGTAATCCTTGAAAAACAGGGGGGTGATGTATTAATTTATAGGAGAGAAGAGTCCAGGCTGGATCCTCTGGTACCACCAGTGACCCCAGTCCTTCAGGATGCAGTTCAAGGGATCCTTCCTCTCTGCTTTCCTGCTGTCACTGCTGAGGGATGCTCTACATTATCCAGGTGTGCCAAAAACAGGACTTGGGAGCTTTGGATAACTTCTGAATTAAAACTCACCTGTGAATTTAATTGAGTTCAAAATAGAGTTGGGTGAAGACTTGCACGCTGCTTCACCAAAAACTACATCTGCTGTAAGATCTTTTGGGGATCATTTTGTGGTCTTTCAAAATCACAGAGCAGTTCTGCGTGTGATCATTGTCCTTCCATCCAAGGTCAGAGCTGAATTTGGCCCTGCTCTTCAGCCTCCAGAGGTTAAAGCAATGCTATGCCCTGGTGTTTGACACAGCAAAGTGAGTTGTGTTTCAGCCAGTGTCAGAAAAGTCCACATATTTGAATGTGACACTCTCAGGTAACCACACAATTCCTTTATAAACAACATGAATGTTTGCAGCCACAGAAAAGCCTCCA